CTAGATGTAGTCCTGGACTCTAAACTCTCCTTTCAGCCCAGCATCCAATCACTGTCCAAAGTTTGCCGCCTCAACCTCTGCAACATCTCCAAAATACGCCCACTCTTAACCAATGACACCACAAACCTTCTTATTCACTTCCTGGTTATCTCTTGCTTTGACTACTGCAACTCCCTCCTCATTGGATTACCGTATTTTCCAGCGTATAAGACGACTTTTCAACCCCTGAAAATCTTCTGAAAAGTCGGGGGTCGTCTTATACGCCGGTGCGAGCCGAGTGCGGAGTGTCAGAGCGGCACTTTTTCGATGGGCGGCGCCCCCCTCCTCCTCCAACGGACACTAAGTACAGGGGTGGGCAGAGGGGCTGCTGTACCTTACCTGGCTCCGGTCCCACGACGATCCGGTCCAGGAAGCGCGGCTGCTCCTTCTTTCAGTTCGGCTGCTCGATGGTCACGCGGCCGCTCGGCTCCGCCTCCTCACCGGTGATTGGGCGCCAGCACTGGAAAGGCACACAGACGACCAATCACCGGCGAGGAGGCGGAGCCTAGTGGCCCCGCAAAAATCATGCGGCCGAACTGGAAGAAGGAGCAGCCGCTCCTCTCCCCCACTGACACCAACAATGAGACACTGTTCCTCCCCCACTGACACCAACAATGAGGCACTGTTCCTCCCCCACTGACACCAATGATGAGGCACTGTTCTCCTCACTGATACCAATGATGGGGCACTACTCCTCCTCCCCACTGATACCAATGATGGGGCACTATTCTCCCCACTGATACCAATGATGGGGCACTATTCCTCCCCCACTGACACCAATGATGGGGCACTATTCCTCCCACTGACACCAATGATGGGGCACTATTCCTCCCACTGATACCAATGATGGGGCACTATTCCTCCCACTGATACCAATGATGGGGCACTATTCCTCCCCCACTGACACCAATGATGGGGCACTATTCCTCCCACTGATACCAATGATGGGGCACTATTCCTCCCCCACTGACACCAATGATGGGGCACTATTCCTCCCACTGACACCAACGATGGGGCACTATTCCTCCCACTGACACCAACGATGGGGCACTATTCCTCCCACTGATACCAACGATGGGGCACTATTCCTCCCACTGATACCAACGATGGGGCACTATTTCTCCTCCCCACTGACACCAACGATGGGGCACTATTCCTCCTCCCCACTGACACCAACGATGGGGCACTATTCTCCCCACTGACACCAATGATGGGGCACTATTCTCCCCACTGATACCAATGATGGGGCGCAATTCCTCCCACTGACACCAATGATGGGGCGCAATTCCTCCCACTGACACCAATGATGGGGCGCAATTCCTGCCACTGATACCAATGATGGGGCGCTATTCCTCCCACTGACACCAATGATGGGGCGCAATTCCTGCCACTGACACCAATGATAGGGCACTATTCCTCCCACTGACACCAATGATGGGGTGCTATTCCTCCCACTGACACCAATGATGGGGCACTATTCCTCCTACTGACACCAATGATGGGGTGCTATTCCTCCCACTGACACCAATGATGGGGAGCTATTCCTCCCACTGATACCAATGATGGGCCGCTATTCCTCCCACTGACACCAATGATGGAGCACTATTCCTCCCACTGACACCAATGATGGGACACTATTCCTCCCACTGACACTAATGATGGAACACTATTCCTCCCACTGACACCAATGATGGGGCACGATTCTTCCCACTGACACCAATGATGGGGCACTATTCCTCCCACTGACTAATGATGGGGCACAATTCCTCCCACTGACTAATGATGGGGCACTATTCCTTACACACTGACACTAATGATGGGGCACCATCATTGGTGTCAGTGGGAGGAATAGTGTCCCATCATTGGTATCAGTGGCAGGAATAGTGCCCCATCATTGGTGTCAGTGGGAGGAATAGTGTCCCATCATTGGTATCAGTGGGAGGAATAGTGCCCCATCATTGGTGTCAGTGGGAGGAATAGTGCCCCATCATTGGTGTCAGTGGATGAAATAGTGCCCCATCATTGGTGTCAGTGGGAGGAGTAGTGCCTCATCATTGGTGTCAGTGGGAGGAATAGCACCCCATCATTGGAATACCATACTGAAATAGCATACCATATTGAAATCAAATCTGATGTTTTTTCATTTTTATTTTGGTGTGCGTTGGAAGAGGGGTAGTCTTATACGGCAAGTATAGCTCAAACCCCATATTTTAACAGGAAAAGTAGGGGGTCGTCTTATACGCCCAGTCGTCTTATACGCCGGAAAATACGGTACTTTTACATAGGCTATCCCCCCTTCAGTCCATCATGAATGCTGCTCCCCAACTGTTCAGTGTCTGCTACCCCTCTCCCAATCCCTCCACCTACTATATTAAAAATTCAAACACTAACTTATAAAACCATCCACAGCTCTTCCCCCAGCTATATCACTAACCTAGTTTCAAAGTACCAATCAAATCATTCGTTCTTCCCAAGACCTCCTGCTCTCTAGCTCCCTTGTCACCTCCTCCCATACTCACCTCCAGGACTTATCCCAAGCCTCTCCCATCCCATAGAACTCCCTACCCCAACCTGTCCTACTATCTACCTTTAATTTGTAAGCTCTAAAGAGCAAGGCTCTCTGATTCCACATCTATTGAATTGTATTTGAACTGTACTGTCTGTCTTCATGTTGTAAAGGACTGTGCAAACTGTTGGTGCTATATAATCCTGAATAATGAAAATAGAATTTTATTCACTCTAAGGTAGTGTGTCTTCAGGACTTGTGGCCCACATTAATTTAAAGGAAAAGTTCCAAAGTAACTTACAGCATAACCCTTACAGGGGTTTTCCCCATCATTTCAAAACAGAAACACAAACTGGTATTAAACCTCCTGGCTGCTTCTTCTTGCAATATCACCGCTCAGGCTTTGAGCTTCTTCATACCTCACAGCTTCTTGCTTCCCTGGTCCACACCCTGACCTCTGAGTATGGGCCTCCTTTCCCCTGGGTGGAACCCTGAATCACTGCCATCCCCATGATTATAAAGGCTTTGCACACCTGCATACCCAGCCTGTTGGTCTCCAGTAAAACCTGAACCCAGGGTTAGAGACTTATTCCTTCCCAAGACTGTTTGAAACAACTGGACTCCAGAGCACAATCTGGGAGTTGAAAAATATACCTTATGGTGCCACTCCAAGCTCTGGATGGAAGGAAAAAGATCACCCCCATTGGCAAGTGAGGAGAGGGGAGCATGAGTCCGAGCAGTTCCAGTGTCAGCCAATACAAGTGAAGGAATGGATGCTGCTCAACCAAGGAGTCCAATGTTAAGGAATGACCTCAGCAGCTGTTCTGGCCATGCCCTTTGATGCATTTCACCCCACCCACTGGGGGCTTTGTCACAGAGGTAGTGAGGTTGTGAGAAGCCAGGAAATATATATGCATCATTGGCCGTGAAAAAAGGAATCAGGTGTGTATATGTGATGATAGAATGATTTGAAAACAGGAAGAGGACAAGGGAAACTGAATAGTAATGTTGAAATACAGTACAGAAAAAAAAATTTAATATAGTACAAAAAAAAGAGAGGGGGAAAAAATCTGTCCCTAAAAGTAAGCTTTACTCTGAATAAGATAAAAATAGGTAAATATAAAAAAAGACAACTGTGTGATGTGTATTTGTGAAAAATTTAAAATGTTATGAAAACAATTTTCAAAACTATTAGTTCACATCAGGGACATCATGCAGGACAATAGAGAAAAGGAGGGGGAGGATTATGAAAAAGGGGGGAAGGAAGGAAGAAGATGGGAAAGTATAGAGTAAAATATGTATATACACACACACTATATTGCCAAAAGTATTGGGACACCCTTCCAAATCACTGGATTCAGGTGTTCCAATCACCTCCATGGCCACAGGTGTATAAAATCAAGCATCTAGGCATGCAGATTGCTTCTACAAACATTTTTGAAAGAATGGGTTGTTCTCAGGAGCTCACTGAATAGTAGTAGTGAATAGTACCATGATAGGTTGCCACCTGTACAATAAGTACATCCTTAAAATTTCCTTGCTACTAAATATTCCACGTCAACTGTTAGTGGTGCTATAATAAAGTGAAAGCAACTGGTAAAAACAGCAACTCAGCCACAAAGTGGTAAGCAACATAAAATGACAGAACAGGGTCAGCGTTTGCATTGTCAATAGCTAAAGACCTCCAAACTTCATGTGGCCTTCAGATTAGCACAACAACAGTGCATAGAGAGCTTCATGGAATGGGTTTCCATGGCAGAGCAACTGCATCCAAGCCTTACATCACCAAGTGCAATGCAAATCATGGGATGTAGTGATGTAAAGCATGCCATCACTGTACCCTAGAGCAGTGGAGACATGTTCTCTGGAGTGACGAATCATGCTTCGAGGGGGGATTATGGTGTGGGGTTATTTTTCAGAGGTTGGGCTTGGCCCCTTAGTTCCAGTGAAGGGAACACTTAAGGAGTCAGTATGCCAAGGCATTTTGGACAATTTCATGCTCCCAACTTTGTGGGAACAGTTTGGGAATGGCCCCTTCCTGTTCCAGCATGACTCTGCACCAGTGCACAAAGCAAGGTCCGTAAAGACACGGACGAGCGAGTTTGAAGTGGAGGAACTTAACTGACCTGCACAGAGTCCTGACCTCAACTCGACAGAACTCGACAGAATACCTTTGGGATGAATTAGAGAGGAGACTGCAAACCAGGCCTTCTCATCTGAAATCAGTGCCTGACCTCACAAATGCGCTTCTGGAAAATTGGTCAAATATTCCCATAGAGACACTCCTAACCCTCGTGGACAGCCTTCCTAGAAGAGTTGAAGCTGTTATAGCTGCAAAGGGTGGGTCAACTAAATATTGAACCCTACAGACTAAAACTGGGATGCCATTAAAGTTCATGTGCGTGTAAAGGCAGGTGTCCCAATACTTTTGTCAATATAGTGTATATACTGTATATATCAGGCCTTGAAATTTCCACTCACCTCCTCGCATTGGTGAGTGGAAATTATGGTGGGGGTGAGTGTGTCCCCAGAGCCATCTTGCTGAGCAGGCTCGGAACTCAGGGCCGGATCTGTCACTCACACTGGGAGCCGTCAGACTGCTCAATAGTTGAGCAAAGTGAAAGCAAAGGAAGGAGTGTGTGCTGTGCTCTCTGCCTCCCCCTAGAGTGCAGTACCCGGCTCTGTGAGTGAAGGTAACGAAGTACTGCAACTTTTTATAGGGCTTTGTGTATTTGTGTGTGTGTGTGTGTATTTGTATGTGTGTGTATGTACATGTATCTGTGTGTGTTTGTGTGTGTCTGTGTATGCATGTACATGTGTCTCTGTGTATGTACATGTGTGTATGCGTGTATGTACATATATGTATGTGTGTACATGTGTCTGTGTGCGTGTACATGTGTTTGTGTGTATGTACGTACATGTGTCTGTGTGTACATGTGTCTGTGTATGTATGTACATGTGATCTGTCACACGCACTGGGAGCCGTCAGACTGCTCAATAGTTGAGGAAAGTGAAAGCAAAGTGTCATGCACCACCCGGTGGGATCTCTAGCGACCCACAGAACGGGATTCCCCAGGATGCGGAGTCTAAGCCCCAGTCTGCCTCTTCACCAGAGCCCCTGATGGTGGGGATGGACTTGGCGCAAGACTGAGACCAGGTTGTGGTCCCTGAGTGCACCCAACTGTGGTAGAGGGGTCCTGCTGAGGGTATGTGCCAGGGGTGAGCCTGACGTGAAGAGGCTGGCAGGTCCTGGACCTATGCGGGATGGATGACAGTCAGGGGTATGCGTGGTCAGACAAGCCGGGTCAGTAACAGTGGAGGCAGATCGGTACAGAGCAGTAGGCAAAGGGTAAATGGGTCACGAGCCAGGGTTCAGCAACAGGAGATCCAACAACATAAGGGTAGGCAGAGGAGTAGTCAGGGACGAGCCAGGGATCAGAGCAGGAGATGGTCAGCAGGAATCAGGACAGGCAGGGTCGGCACTTCACTTCAGAAACGGATGCACAGGAACTAGACCTTACGGCAACCTGATCACCGCCTGGCTAGTTTAAATAGCATGCCCTGCAATTGCAATTGCCGCCGCAGACGCCCAGGTCCTAGTATCTGCACATTGGTGCGCCTAGGCAATCTGCTTACGTGCAGACCTGTGCGCTGCGGCAAGCCCCGCAATCCCTGACACAAAGGAAGGAGTGTGTGCTGTGCTCTCTGCCTCCCCCTAGAGTGCAGTACCCGGCTCTGTGAGTGAAGGTAAGGAAGTACTGCAACTTTTATAGGGCTGTGTGTATTTGTACGTGTGTGTGTATTTGTATGTATGTGTGTATTTGTATGTGTATGTACATGTATCTGTGTGTGTTTGTGTGTGTCTGTGTATGCATGTACATGTGTCTCTCTGTATGTACATGTGTGTATCTGTACATGTGTATGCGTGTATGTGTGTATACATGTGTCTGTGTGCGTGTACATGTGTTTGTATGTATGTACGTACATGTGTCTGTGTGTGCATGTGTCTGTGTATGTATGTACATGTATCTGTGTGTATATACGTGTGTGCATGTATGTACATGTGTCTATGTGTCTGTGTGTGTATACATGTGTCTGTATGTGTGTATGTGTACATGTTTCTGTGTGTATGTGTGTGTGTGTATGTACATGTGTGTGTGTACAGGTGTCTCTGTTTGTGTGTGTGTGTGTGTGTGTGTGTGTGTGTACATGTGTCAGATCATGCCCCTTTTATCTGGATGGCACAAATTAAGAGCTAGAACTCATGGATGTCTAGGTTTTTTTCTAGTCCTCCAGTTTTTTCAAATATATAGTAGTGCATAGACTTGGGAAAGTGTACCTGAATATTTGTCCTGTTCCAAGCCTATTGCCATTTTGTTAGAAGTGTCCAGACTCCTGGCTTGAAGTGCAGTGATAATGTATGTAGGAAGTTAGCCTGAGGCAGGGATAATAAGGCATTCATTTGAGAACACAAAGAGTTGACGTTGGAGACAGAAATGAGACTGTCTTTAGTTGCTAGGAAGCTATGGGACTGCGCTGACAGCCAGAACACTGGTGGGGATTGAGAAAACAGCTTGAAAAGCACAAGCCAAGAAATGTCCTGGCCAGATGTGCTAATCAATAAGCCACTGTGTCTTCACCATCATATCATAAAAATGTCAGGAAAAGAAATTGTGACTTTTGCACCTATGTCTAGTTGTCTTAACACCAGAAGGCTCCTTTCACCCACTAGACCTAAACTCAAAGCAATATTTTACTATCCCAAACACAATTTGGAAATGAAAGGCTCAAGATTATTGTGTATTGTTCCCCACTGCTCTATTTACATTTGCACCCCAAGGCACCTTTCACCTGCAAGGCCCAAACTCTGAACAATACTGTAGTACTATTGGCACAATTTTTGGAATGATTGGCTCAAGCTACATATGTATTTGTGCCTACTGCCATAGTTATATTGACACCCTAAAGCTTCTTCCACCTGCTAGGCTCAAACAGCAATATTGTAGTATCTATGTCACAATTGTTGCAACGAGTAGCCCAAGCTGCTTGTGTATTTTTGCCTACTGTTCTGTTTACAATGCATGCTACTCTACGGCTCCTTCCACTTATCAGGCACAAACTTGCAGCAATATTTTAATATGCCTTGCATAATTTTTAAAATTAATGTCTCATGCTGCTTGTGCATCTTTGCCTACTGTTACTGTTAAATTAACCAAGCCTCTTGTGAGCTGTTAGGCCCAAACTCTAAGGAATATCTTGCTATTCTTGATTAATTTTTTTTGAATAAGCAGCTTATACTGTTTGTATATTTTTGCATATTGCTTTAGCTACCTTGCCATCCTAAGGCTCCTGACACCCGCCATGCTTAAAAAGAGAAAGGAGAAAGGCGTCTCTAAGTGTAGACTTAAAATCAAACATTTTCCATTAAAATATAGGCAACTCACAGGAGAGTAGAAAGAGGAGGGCACATCCATCAAGAAGGTTACTGCCACAGTGTGAAAGCCCTCTAAACACCATTCCTGCATACAGGCCTGCTTGTGTTAGTTCGAGGCTAGCTGGCAAGGTGGATGGGACCCCGAAAGCTAGGGCTGGAGGGTGGTGTAAGGCATGATGACATCACTGGGCGCTGATACGACATGTTTCCTGAGCATGCACTGTGGATTTTCAAACAGACGCACTCCTTTGTCAAGCTATTCTTCTTGAATTATTTTTGGAATAAGCAGCTTATATTGTTTGTGTATTTTTGCATACTGCTTTAGTTACCTTGCCTTCCTAAGGCTCCCGACACCTGCCATGCTTGAACTCTGCAATATTTTCATGTCCCTGGGTTCAGTTTTTAGGAAAAATTGTCTGACACTTCACTGTTTATGATTGTTCTACTGATCCTGTCTGAGCATACCAAAACTGAACCCTAAAACCCATGGGAATACAATTTTCTCAGATATGTTAACATAAACTGTAAAGGATTTAGAGTTCATTTGAAATGCTGTGATAAATCATTGACACTCTTTGCTGGTTCCTTGGTGTTTCACTATAATGAAGAAAAGCAAATAGAAAAGTAAACAGAAAATTGCAGTATACTATTGTAAAATTAGCCATAGACATTGTGTTGTCATCTGTCATGTAACCATGAACTAGCCATGATATAATATGTTTTTGCAAATATGTGCTATATTAATGACATAGTTCTTTTACTGAGCTTGAATGTTTGTGTATTCTCCCAGAATCCTGTGGTCCACAGGAGTCTCTACTGAGACTGATTCAGTTTTGCCACATTGTAAATACTTTGTAAAGAGTAGCTACTGATGCTCTACTTAAAAGGCCATCTTAAACTGGTGTGTTGCAACAATGTACTGCAAAACAGACCTTTTACTGTGAAATATTGTGTATTTTGAAAAGCACCACAATGAACTAACAGAATGCATTTCACCATGACGCAGGGGCGGACTGACCATTTGGAAACTTGGGTACTGCCCGAGGGCCCGGGGTCAGTAGGGGGCCCCATGAGATGCCCCTGGTACCTTTTTCATAGGCTTTTTTGAGTTTGGGTAAGGGCACAGGGGCCCCATGATCCCCTATTGCCCAGGGGCCCCATGAGTTGTCAGTCCGCCCCTGCCATGACGCACACATATGATTCACCTGTGCATTGAGGTGTGTTGCGTTAAAATAAATCTGTGGCATGCACCATATTAAGTGCTTGGCAGCCCGTTCAAAATGAATGGGCTTTTTAATGCAATGCATGTAAAATGTGTGGTTAAGCACTTTCCATATCATGCAGACATCAAAGCCGCACACCAGGGTGAACTACTCCTACTGTACACTTAGTTATTTTTTTATTGAAGGGGAAAATGGAAAACATAGAAAGTCTGGGAATTTTTGGAACATTTTTGACACAGAAAAGAAGAAAGTTTAGATATTTCTTTATAATATATACTGTAGTACCCTTGTTGTGTATTTACCTTTATACATGCATAAATGAACACATAAAGAATTAAAAAAAACTCTTATATGAGTTCACTAAGGGCAGGGGTGGTACTTTGTTGAACATAATCCCCTCAATGCTTCTTGGAACACTAATGCTGGTGAAGAATCTAATGCATATCAGAAGGTGACTTACATGTACACTATTATTCTATTTCAGGGCCTTTGGTAAATCTAAACTATTACATTCTTTTTAATATGTCACCTTGTTTCTTACTAACATAATACTGGAAAACATTGCTTTTTTAGTTTTGCTTCCTGGCAAACTTTTGGTGATCATGATTGACCCGTTCAAACTCAGCAGAAATATAACAATTTCAGAATGACTGTATCATGTAGGAATCTAAAGTAATATAAAATTAACTTTTAATGACTAAAGTGTATTCAATTGCATAAGGTTTTCAGCATGCTGCATAGGTTCAACAGGGCTAAAAGTTTGTTGCTGCTGATTTTCATTTGTACTTTGTGTCAGGTGCATCTATCTGCAATGTCCAACAATAGTCAGCCAGCACTGATGGATTCCAGTAGGTCTGGTACGAATTTTCCATTGTGGCAACATGCTTGTGAGAAATTTTAACATGTAATCGCAAACTGCACCTAAATTTCGGGGAAAGAATCCATGTGTGAATGCAGAAAATGAATCTTCAGTGACTGGTTTCACTTCATGCTGTAAGAAGTTTTTTAGTCAGCTGAATGTACACTGCTTAACGAAATTAAAGGAACACTTTTTAATCAGAGTATAGCATCAAGTCAATTAAACTCCTAGGCTATTAACCTGGTCAGTTAAGTAGCAGAGGGGGTTGTTGATCAGTTTCAGCTGCTTTTGTGTTAATGAAATTCACAACAGGTGCAGTAGATGGGTAACAATGAGACAACCCCCAAAACAGGAATGGTTTTACAGGTGGAGGCAACTGATATTTTTTTCCCTACCCATCTTTTCTGACTGTTTATCACT